AGGGATGAACGAAGGATTTGTCAAAAGCTGTTGATTCCATACATGTTTCCCACTTTTCACAGGCATTGTAAAGGCTCCTCTAGAGCAAGCTGCCATCACACGAGATTCCGTCTTGAGGTGTTTTTCACAAGGCTAGCCCTTTCGTGCTTGAAGTTCTTTGCCGCCCATGAACACCTCAAGGGATCACCATCTCAGCTGGGCTGAGGTTCTAAAGACCGACCGCTCTCGGCAAGTCTAAATCCAAAATGCTAACGGTCTCATGCCTGGAGGGCGTCATCTCATCTCGGAATTCTGGCAAACGCATGCACGTGCAACCACTGTAGCGATATGATGCCTCCAGCGTAAGTGAAACCACTGTACACTCCGCCGGTTAACCACGACGGAAAGGTGCGGGAGCGTCACTCCATGACGCTTGCGGGCTTGCGAGTCCCGTTCAGCCAGCAGTGGCTCGCAATATTGGTCTTGTTCTGCTGACGTAACAAGGGAATCGCAAGCATGGAAACGCTACTGTCAGACACAAGTTGCTCAGACAGCCTTTCAATCAATTGCTGACAGCGCTGGGTGCTGAGCCAATTTGCCAGCCTGTTGCCAGCTCCCCTTTGCTCCACAACAGAGTTGTCTCATCCATTGTGCACTGGGCACCCACCGCTGACAGCATCGAAACAAGAGCAGCAGCTATTCAAACAGCCGTCATTTGAAATAAACCAAACCCCCGAATATGCACAAACTCAGGAGCCGTACTGGAAGACCCCGTGCTCTGACTTGATGGTCACCTGATCGTGGCAGTGCTGAACATGCTGCTAATTCAGATGCTAGACGCAGTCAGTCTTTGCGTTTGCCACGATCTCTCCCTCCAGTTGGTCGCTGCACACATGACATCTGTGGCTCCGGCCATCAATGTCTTGAAACAAGGAGTTGGGCCTTTGTTGGTGCTGTTGGCTGGTTTTGATGGCCAATCCAAAATGCTTAAACCCTTTGCACCTGGTGTCACAGGTGGTGATTCCCAAGGACAATATCCTGCATGATGCTCAGGTCTCCCATTGACCAGATGTGCTCTCCTCTTGCTTCCTACCTCCCAAGGCCCGGGTTCCGGGAAAGAAACATCCAAACATAAACATCGTGCATCGCGGTTTTCGTCAAGCTGTCTTTCAATGCATCGTCAAGTTCAGCTTCCAACCGTGGCTTCAAAAGTAGCCGCTTTCTGTCGTTTCAAGTAGTCGGCGAGGGCTCTCGCGCCTTCTTGTGACCTGGCTCCATCGCCTCTACTCTGCCGATGATCTGGGACTCAATGCCGAAAGACTTGGAGATGTCGCTGATCTTTGCAGCTGCCTCCGGGTTGGTGTACACTTCTAACCTGCAGTTGAATGCAACTTATTTCGAACGATTTCGAGCGTCCAACGAAGAACACGTTACAGCCAACTACGTCTCCTAAACTTGAAACGACAGAACCAAATAGAACATGCATGCATTGTGTGCAGGTGAGGTACCTGTGGCCCATGTTGAAGACCTTGTACATCTCCTCCCACGGCGTGCCCGAATTCTTCTGGATCAGTCTGAAGACAGGGGCAGTCTCCATCAGATTGTCCTTGATGATGTGAACTCCGTCCACAAAATGCAGCACCTGCCGCGCACCGGGTGGCTTCACAGAATACAAACGATTGCATCTAAAGTATGGGAGCAACTTCTGTCGACAAAACATGCAGCTAGACTTGGCTCAGAAGTGCCCTCCAGTTGAGATTCTTGAGGCTTTGATTGCAAATCACCACGGCTGCATGCAGAAACATGGAGAATCTAAAGACTTAAGCAAAAAGAGCACACGTGCGAGGAACACGTCTCGCGAGCTGCAAAAGGCAAATGGCATGAATCGGCACTGAGACCTGGCTTTCAGAATTCTAGCAGTACCCGCCCCACTCTCTTCAGGCATCAGTCTCTTCAAAGAATGGGAAAAAACATGGAAAATGGGTGGTTTCCAAAGAGAACGATGGGTGAAGAGAATGGGGAATCAAGCCTTCGAAGAATGAACACCAGCCCCCAGCTTTGGATTGAACTCCTGCCTTTGTCTGCGCGCCACCTGAGCAGTGCACCATGCCGTGGATCTGTGACCGCAGGCCGGCCGCAAAGATCTTCTGGACGACGGGGCCATAGGTCCTCGCTTGCGAAATCTGCTCCCCTGCCAAAAGTGAATAACTTTGAGCGGTTTCAGGCGGAAAAACACATTTTCTTGAGCAAAAAGTTGAAGTCCAAACATCCCTTGGGTCCTGGTGGGGGAAAGCAGCAGCTTCCCCGCCGGGATGGTCCCGTAGCCTGGGATGTCGATGGGATCCTCCAGGCCCACCTGAAACATGGCCATAGCCCGGGTTGGGAGAAAACCCCAAGAGATATGATGGGTTCAAAGGGGAACCAAGCGGAAAACCAATAATTATCTTTCCTTCTTTTTGTTTGGGGGGGCCCTGAAAAAAGACATCATGCCAATATCGGAGTTTCTGGGCTGATTTCATTGGCCTCTGTGGATGTCTTCATGAACATATATTTGGATACGTGCTTTTGTCAAATGGGCAGTGCGGTCCCTCATCAGCTTTACTAGTACGACTGCTCAAGAAATCATCGATCTCACACCCACACCCACACCCACACCCACACCCGCACATGCATTGCTTCTGCGAAGGTAACCCCAAGTGGGACCACCTTCCCCCAGCCTCTCAATAGCCTGCCCAGGACAGGATATCCGGACCTTTGAACAAACAAAGACTGACAAATGGGGGTGGGGGGGATTGCACAGTCGCCGGGGCGCTTGGCCGCTATACACCAGCTCCTTCGCCATCATGGGGTCAAAGGACTCGGGGAATTCCTGTCGTGCTGCTTCTTGAGGAAAACTGGAAATGGCCGGATGTTTTCGGGAGAGTGTATGATTCGCGGTTTGCTGTCTGTGAGCAGCCTTCATCCTGTTTTCGGTCTGGTGCCCATGTGCCTCGATGTTCTGCAAATTAAATAAGATACTTCCTGTTCGTCAATCAGAGGGCATGTCTTTTGACGACACCCACTTTCTCAAAACTCCGGTCCTTCGCCAAGGAATTCTTGAAGGTGTCGTGTCGCGCCGCGGTGAGCCCATTGCTGCCGATGCCGCTGTTGTAGGAGTCCTCGTAGGTCGCCCGCCCGGAGGAGGACAAAGCCACGATCACATCCCCGGCGCGGATGTTGCCGTTGTCGATGACCTGGCGTTTACCCCGTTGCCTATCCTTCTGGAAAGCATTGGCACTGTTTTTTGGTAGTGATAAACGGTTTTCGGCCTGTTTTGATGGACACACTTGCACCTGCCCAAGCGGCCTAGAAGCTATATATTGTTTCATCTGTGATCCTCACTATCAGCCGGATCTTAACCTGGGAATCGATGTGTGAAAGGGACCCCCACAAAATGCAGGGTTTGTCCCCAAAGCGCACAAGTGACAAGACCCTCTCCGGCATGAGACACTTGAAGGCACATCCGTGGTCTTTGGCTGGTTTTCCTTTGCCGGCCATGGCCCCACCTGAAAAGAATCATCAAGATCCGAGTGTGTTGATGGAAGCAGGTTGATGCAATCAATCAATCCACACAAAAGCACAAACAAAAGGGAACCATATCTTTAAAGAAAGCAGACCACACAGGGCAAGGGATTCCCGCGTCGCCCGTTTTTGCCCCTCTCCGGTTTTTGGTTTTTCGCCTCTCTCCGTGGGATCTGCGCTGCGACCGTGGAGTCCACGATGATGGTCCGCACCAAGTCCCCCACGTCCGCCGTCTCCCCGCCCGTCAGGATGATCCCCACCCCGTGGCGGTTCAGCTCGTCCACTAGCCTGAAGCTGAATCGGCGAATGGCATGTGGCTGGCTAAAGGTGCAGTCATTGGTTTCCCAATGGCCTGAAACATAGCTGGTCTTAGCTGGTGGCTGAAAAGCCCAAAAGCCCAAGGGTAGGTCTATGGTTCTATGATTCAGTGGTTGTTTGGACTTATTCTCCGTCAGGTGTTTGGCTCATTCATCGTCTCAATAGTATGCAAAGCACTAAACGGAAAGGACCTGCCAAGTCCAGCGATGCGGCGAGGCCGTGCCAGCGATCACAGCGCCGATGACCTCGCGCGGGATGAGGTTCTTGTTGCGGCCAATGGTGCTGGACAGTAAAATGTTGTCAGTGATGCCCACGCAAAGCAGATCATCCAGGTTCATCACAAGCGCATCCTGCGCAATGCCGCGCCAAACTGAGATGTCCCCAGTCTTCTTCCAGTACATGTAGGCCAAGGAGGATTTGGTCCCAGCACCGTCTGCATGCATGACGATGGCTTGCGTTGGGTCGCGAGAGATGAAATCTGGGACAACCTGGCACATGCGCGTCAAGCCGTATAATTATTTGCACGGAGGTGCTGCAATTTAGAGTGTCAGACTTTGACCTTCCCCTGCCTTGCAAAATGCCTGGGGGAACAAGCCTTTGTCCATATTCTTGATGGCTGCGTGCACGTCACCCTTGTCTGCCGACACTCCGCGCTGCTCGTATCGCTTGGCATCTCCGTCCATCTTGGCAGATGACGGGACGGACGAGGCAAGCGTTGCTGCTGCTGCCGCCGCCGTTGCTGCTGGTGCCAACCTGGAAGCCACATCGCAAAGCGCCAGTTGCGTGGGAGTGGGCTGAAGGCCTGTGAACTTCCCTCAAATTGGCCTTGCAACTGCGCATGCACATCCAACGTCCATCTCTGTCCATCTCCAAACAGGACACTAAACACACCCCAAAGTAGACGACTCTTTTGTGTTCGATCATGAGATTCCTCAGTGCTTCTAAAAAAGTGGTCGTTCACTCGTTCTGTCCGGTTTTCGGCTTAAAAAGTGGTCGTTCCGTCCGGTCTTCGGATGTTCGACTCTTCTCGCCTCCGACTCTTCCACTTGCCGGAGGCCACCAGCCGCACCGCCTCCGGCAGGGCCTTGGACTCGGCGTCCTCCACGATGCGCTCGTGCAAACTGTCCACCGTGTCGGTGTCCATGACCCTCGCCGTCTCCTGCAGCATGATCTCCTCGCCCTCCTCCCCGGCAAAAAGGCCAGGACAGATTGAGAACCCAGTTCACCAAGCATTCACGAACCATGAAACAACCTGGTGGATTTTGAATCGGAGTTGAGGGTGCTCCTTTTTTTAAAGGAATCCAGACTACTTCTGGATACTTTTGAGGGAAATCCCCCTCAAATAAATCGGGCAGGCTTATTCATCCAAGGTCGACACTACTTACGGCTGTTGGGCTGCTTGTTCCGGGTGGCAAGCGGCAGCTTTGAACGAAAAGCATCGTTGATGCTGACCCCCTGGTCAATGACCCAGCTCCTTCAAGTTTTGAGGGAAATCCCCCCCTAATAAATCGGGCAGGCTTATTCATCCAAGGTCGACACTACTTACGGCTGTTGGGCTGCTTGTTCCGGGTGGCAAGCGGCAGCTTTGAACGAAAAGCATAGTTGATGCTGACCCCCTGGTCAATGACCCAGCTCCTTCAAGACTGTCCTTTTCCCTCGGGCGGCCAGCCCATTCCACTTTAAAGGGGCCCACAAGCGCCAGAACCGCCCTGATTGAAGACAGCCGCCTGCCTCCCCAAACTCTAAACATGTCAAAAACACAATTATACATTACAAAAACTGTTGCCAATACTTCTGCCAACACTAATTCCCTTTATAGTCGTAGAGGGTGCTTTTGCCGAAACCGAAAACAACAGCTAGACGGAAACGGTACATGTCTCCATCTTGTTGAACATATACATGTTGTGTAGAGAAAAGCCAAGGTTTGACAAGCTCATAAAGCCCCCATTCAAGTCCAGGTCACCCCCCCCTGACAATCATGTAGAATCCCCGCCAATTAATCTTGGCGCTGAGAAATGTGCTTTCCTTCATTTCTGCCCTTTTGGCTAGACAAGGGGAGGACCAGAGCCCGGAGACGACTGGATTCATAAGAGGGCCGCCTCCAAAACCTGTTTTCTGGATCTTCAACCTTGTTGTGCGCGTGTGTGTGGTGTGCTTGTGTGTCTGTTACTTGTTGTGATGCGTTGTTGCTTCAAGACAATGTCCTCTCATGAGCATTTCATGTGCGGGTGTGATGTGGTTGTTCATACAGCTCAGTATATACACTTGTACTTCTACTCGCTTGTGATGCCACGTGAACACACGAGCTTCACTTATATAGCCAAATACGGCCGTGCGCTTGCTTTCACTTCGTTACATTTTGTCCACTAAGCCTAAAATAGATCGAGGGGAGTAAGAGTGCTGAGAGAGGCAATTCCGGGTCCGTTGGACTTTAGGACCCTCTGCGGGAGATAGGCGGGGGATTACCAATCGAGGCTGTTCGGCGCCGTATCTGTTTGCGTTCTCGCGATTCGTCCGATCGTCCTCCGTCTGCATATAAACGGTGCACCCCGTCACGCACATGCCCGCATCCAGCACCGACTGCAAGGGATCAGCGCCGTTGCGCGGCAACAAGGAGGCGCGCACATCGATCAGCTTGCCCGCCCAGCGCTGCCGCAAGCTGGCAGGCAGCAGCTCCTTGGCCCATGCGTGAAGCGCAGATTGGGTTGTCTCTGACACGGGAGCCCCACGGGTGGTGTTTCTTTCCTTGAAACAGCCCTGATGCGGGTACTGGGCTGAAATTTTTTTAAAAAAAAACTGCGGTTGGACCATTGCAACCTTTGTAACCTTATGCCCCGGTATGGGTCAGTATCGACTTTGTTTCCTCTGTATCGATTTAAAAGTTTTTGGAGCTGCGAGTAGTTCAGTGTGCCCTAAGCCGAGGCAACATAACACTCATAGGACAAGCAGGCAAAAGGCAGCGGCGGTTTCCAAAGCAGGTGGGTCATCAAGAAGAGGAACTCGAGGAGTGGGTGCAGAGATAGCAAAACAAAGACATGATGTGTACTGGGCAGTTGGTTGCATTTGGTAGGCATTAAACACTTGGCTTAGTATCGATTAGGTATCGGCTGAATATCGGTTTGAGTATTGGCTCAAGTCCTGTACGTGTCCCACTCTGCAACCTCGCTTGAGCAACAATTGCAGGCTTTAGCCAAGCCTCGCATAGCTTCTCAAAAGCACCGGGTGCAGCTCACAAGAACCAAAGACTGTTCGAAGCACGTTCCTCTCGCTCTCTCTCTCTCTCTCTCTCTCATTCTCTCGCTGAGCTCTCTCTTTCTCTCTCTCTCTCTCTCTCTCTCGTGGTCTTTTCTTTCTCCTCTTTTCTGCGGTCACATGTGTCTCCCCTCTCCATCTGCCGAGCCTTCCCTTGCCCATACCTGCACTTCCTACAGCCTGGGGGTCTCTTGCTGAACAATCCGCTCAAGCGCTGTACTTTTGCAACCCCTGCCAGGGCATCAGGCAAACCAAGCATGTCTCCCCCGCCCATAGGCCGTTTCAAAGCCCTTGCCTTGCAAGCCCCCTTTGTTCGACCCCTTTCTACCCGCTTCCTTGTGTTTGACCATGGGGTGCGGGGCCTTTCTTCCTTTGCCCCCACCCTCCGAAACTGGCCATCAACAGGGCCCTTCCACTCCCTCCAGTTTCTTTCTGGCTGGGTCTCGATTGGGCGTAAGAGAAATTCCCATTCATTCTTCAGCAATTGAAAGCAGGCATTTCATAAACAACCGTCCCCTCCAAAGCCACTCACTTCCCACAATGCCAAGATAGCTGCCCCAAAGGTCATCGTCCCATTTCTGCTAACACTCCAAAACGGATTGAGGTTTTTGGCCCAAGCTCCAAGCTGAAGTCGTCCATGACCACCAGCAGATCCGCCCGGTGCTGCTCGAGGCATTTTTCCAGCAGCTGCTCCACGTCCGTGGCTGACTGTCGCGGCGGTGGGGCGAAGGCGTTGCCCCCAACCTGGCGCTGGCCAGGCTGCCAGGTGGGGAAGCTGGAAGCTAGGTGCAAGAGGTGGGGTCGCAGCGGCCCAAGGAAAGCAAGGGATAGACAGCCGCCGCTATGGAAAACAAGGCACATGGATGGGCAATAAGCTTACCCTTTGCCCTGAACCAGGTGCGTGGAGTCGTGCTTCGAACTCGAAAATCTCACACCTTCAATGCCTAAAATCAGAACCGAAGCCTGTTCTCAACACCAAGGCCTAGCACCCCGAAGCCAACCCTAAACCAAGATCTAACAATCCCAAGCTTGCGTCTTGAACAAAGAACCCCCAAACCCTAAACTGCAGCAACCCCAACCGAAGCAAGCACCACGATTGAAAAAAACACTGGAGCTCCTGTGTGTGTGTGCGCGTGTGAGAGCGCGGTTGGACCTTTTGCTGTTCACTTGGAGTTTGAGCCACTGTCAAGCGAACTTTGATGGCAATTTCCCACTGAGCAAATGAATGAATCGTTCAAAGAGTTTTCTACACTTGCACACGCACAGACAAATTACATCAAATTACAATATGCAATTTGTACACCTTCGCATGCACTCTAGTCTGGTCAACCTCCCAAAAAACACACTCTCTCATACTCTCTCTCTCTCTCTCTCAGCGGGGCCCCGAAGAAGCTTACGTGTTTCTTTAATGGATTGTTTCGCGTGGTCATCTAGCGATAAAAACGGGGGGGGGGGGCGGGGGCTCCTTGTGTTTCCCAGCGCGGCGAGCCTGCAGCTCCTGCTCCACCACGAAGGTGGCAAGGCCCGCCGTCTTGGCCAGTTTCACCTTAAACCGAAGCGGTGGTAGGGGAAAAAACAAAAACGTATGCCTTTTTGTTCAAGGACTTCTTGGGGTTTGTTTGTAGGTGGAACCGATGAAAATATTTGCGTGCGCTCTCTCCAGCCAGCTTGCAGGGTTTTAGGGCGCCTTGTTCTGAGACCCATGCCTTTCAGGAGCCAGGAGGGTGGGATCTTGTGTCCCTTCTTGTTCCTCCTACCTCTCCAGTAGTTTGACGGGTCGGAGGAGATGCTTGCTTGCGGGCTGTGACAGCCGTTCAACCCGAAACGGACATACACATGTCGACTCAAGAAGCTCCACAAATCGACATGGAGCTTGATGGTCCCTTGAAGGGTATGGGTATGACATACATAGAAAATGTTTATGGAGTTTGAACGGGGCCCGCATTGGCTCGGTGCATGCTAGGTGCATGTTCTCCTAAGGTCCTATGGACTGAAAACTTGGCATAGAGGGGAATCATCGAACATCATATGCCAAACCATCTGGGTTGAGAAAGCTTCCCTCAAAAACACTGTGCGAGTAGGTTAGACGCCGTGATGACCACGGGACTCAGGCCCAAATCGATTATGGCTCATGAAGAGGGTCAATCAGGAGGCTGGAACTTGTCTTGCTCGCTCGCCCCAGTTGCAACACTTTTCAGACTTTACCCTGTTGTGCAGTCTGACAGGCCGGGCTCATGCGCAGGTGAGTCACCGCCCCGTGTTGGCCCTTCCACAGCTGCAGAATGCGGGGTTCCGAGGCAGGCAGGCAGGCAGGCAGGCAGGACAACCTGTCATCAAAAGAAAGAAATTCAGAGGAACAGGAGCAGGTCCCCTTCACAGGGAAATGGCTCGAAAACCCCCACCCCGGTCAAGTCCAAGCTGCCATTGGGCTCTGGGAGCTCAGGCTGATGACAGCGCTGACCTCCGCGGGGAAGGCCCAAATCTCCGTGGCCTCCAGCAACGCCTGGCGTTGGGCATTGAGCTCTTGTCTGTTGACTCACATAGCACCCGGCCGTGAATCGAGCGCCCACGAAATCACTAGCACCTCCAAGAGCACCCCAAACAGCATCCCAAAACGGTACCTGCAGCTGATGCCCCCTTGCACCCTGTACGTCAATCTCGCAACAATGCGCCTGCACCGTCACTCTGAAGAGCACCCCAAACAGCACCCCGCAAGCACCCACCGTCAATCTCGCGAAAATCAAACAGCTCCCCAAACAGCACCCCCCCGTGCACCCTACCGTAAATTTTGAAAAGATGCGCCCGCACTGCCATCAGCACCTCAAACAGCACCCCCAATCAGCACCTAGACCAGCACCCCAAACTGCACGCTCAATTTGCAGGGCGTAGATGGGCATAGGGGCTCTGGAGCGATTCGCTATCCCTTAATGATCATGAAAATAACTGGTGGGCAATGGCTGGTCGTATCTCTTCGCCCGACCACTTGACGAACGCCCTTGAAACTGGTTAAACCAAAATATGTGGCAAACAGTACAACTGAACTGAAAGTGTCTGTGTGTGTGATGTCTGCATTTGCATTCGCATCTGTGGTGGCCCCTTCATGGCAACTCCCTTGGTGTCCACCATCCCCTTCGAAGCGTTGATGCCAGCACCAGCCCAAAGCCCTCAAGCATTCTGATGTGCTCCGCAAGGGAGGGATCCCTTGTGAACAACTTTCAGGTTGTTCTGGGTCGGAGTGCTTATGATTACTGATTGCTCGGTATCACAGGTCCGTAATGCCTATTGCTCTTGAAGCAAATATCAGACACATGTCCAAAGATAGGGTGCATGACCTTCGACATGAACCATATGATGTTTTACAATTTCAGCAAACAATGCTGCTAAGACAGACCGTTCGATGCGTTTTGCTGCTCGTGAGCGTTCATGCCGCCGATTGAACTAAACAAGCTGCGTGTGGATGGGTAGCGCCGCCTAATCATTAAGTAGGACCATGCAAAGCCTACAAGTTGCAACTTGAATTGCCAAAATATTGACAACACAGCATGATAATGCATGATACAAACAACTCCGACATGATGTCGCAGGTAACTATTGTACGCAGTTTTCTCTCGATGTATCAAGGTTGGCTGGCTGCGTGCCACAACTTGTGGACGCACATCCACTGATGGCGAATGGCTGCAAACTGAACCACCTCGCAAACATTGCCCTAAGTGAAGGAGCAGGTTCAACACGATACCTATGAATCCAGCCACCGGCCAAACCTGCTCACGCGGTGGAAGGATTCCCTGGCGGAGTGCCAGGCCTTGAGGGGCGTGGCCAAGGCGGTGCCTCCCAGCACCACACAGTGCTGCCGCGAGACCATGTGCGGATCCTGGCACAAAACGCCCAATCCGCCCATGTGTCCATTCACATGGGGTGAAGATGCGAACGTGTTGCCCTGGCTCTTTAATCTTAATGCGTGTCTACGTGTTGAGCCTTACGACTCTGAAGCCCTCAGGTGCCAACATGCAAACGATGGCGGGCCGGGATGTTTCCCACAATTCTTACTGAGTGCAACATCACACTGAGACCGAGGTAAAGTGCCCTTCTTGAAAGGTGAGCGGGGATCCCCTGACGTTTCTATTTATTTCTATCAGAATAAATTGAAAGCTGGGTGCTACTGCCCTGCAGCACAGGAATCCTGCCAAAAGAGATGCCTGTAAACAAATGACAGTGTTCATTCCCCGTGCCTGTCCCTTCAAACATATTCGTCGTATCAATTTTGTTCCTGGTGTCTCCCAAGTCTTCAGTTTTCCACACCTCCCATCCCATCCCGCCACATCCACCCGCCACATCCCGAGATGTCATCCCCGCCTGCAGGGAGGACAAGACCTGTGGGAAGGGCAGCGAAACTCCGAGCTCCGGGAGCATCAGCCAGCAGCTCTCCGCCCCGTCGATGTGCGTCTGGGGCTGCCCGTCCGAGCGCTTCCCCAGCTCTCCGATGACGCAGGCCTCCTCGTCCATCTTCCTGAGCGGCCGCTTCACGCGGAAATGCACGCGGTCTTGCTTGAGGTTTCTTGTGGCTTTGAAGGGGAATAATTTAAAGACGTCAACACCACCACATGTGTGCAAACAGTTGTGGGTTAAAGATCATGTGGATTGTACAAACTGCAGGACGAGTTCGAGATCAGCTAACCCGCTTTGGGGAGATTGCTATGTACGATTCGGGCGCATGAAGCAATGACACCTGAACATGAAAACCGGATGGCAACAGCTACCAGGCTCAATGCCAGAATTTGTTGGAAAAAGGCACCATCAAACGTCTTGATAGGAGGCAAAGTGTGACGCTAATTGTGTGAGGTTTTTAAATCGCATGTTTCGATTCTGCATATAGACTCTTCCGCTGTTCCATGTGGCTGTACGGCAAATATATCATGTAATAGCACCTATGGCAGCCCTCAACCAAAGCCTTGACATGAAAAGCCTGGCGGTGAGAGGCCCAAAGGAGCTGCTTTGGCTGCCTGCCCGAAAAATGCTCATTTGACTCGGGCAATTGGCCCAAGCATTGGGTGCATGGCAAGCCCCGAGAAGGGTGCACCATGTTTTGCATACAACTATCACCCCAGGAAGCTCGCTCAAGCGCAATATCAAGCGATGGTGCCAACAATCAGTGCTAGCAAAGGGTACGGTTTGCGGGGGTCAACAAATTTAGCTGACCTTCGAAAGACCGAAAAGGGCAGAACATGCAATCGAAATGGCTGTGTATGGCCTTTCCCTGGGAAGTGCGTTTTGACAGGCCAATGATGGATAGACCACATCCTCACACCAAGGTTGTTGAACGTTCAGCCCAGCAAAAGCAAACGATACGTGCCGCTTGCCGTAGTAGCCGCTGGGCGGATCGGCAAGTTTTATGTTAGCTGTTAGGCGTGTAATCAACGCCTAGGTTCTTCAGAAGGGACATGACCTCCTCCTTTTTGTCCTTGGCAACCACCAGCACCATGCCAATGCCGCAGTTGAAGGTGGCTGCCAACTCGTCACAAGGGATCTTGCACCTGGCGCTTTTCCCAAATGAGACGTCAAGGAATGAAGCGCGCGTTGGTTGCAGCAGGACACCATCCGTTCATCTGAACAGAAGGCAAACTCGTTGGGTCCGGCTTCTTCGCAATAGGTCGGCCGGTTTGGGCGGAAGCTTGTTGAAGGCCCTTTCGGAAGCAACAACACGAACACAGGCAGCAATGGCAACGACAATCTCAACCACAAATTGCCCACACTGCAGCAGCAAGTGGCTCGCGCGTATCACATCCCAGATGTTGGCAGGATACAGCTAAGACACATCAAGCTTAACATGGATCAGTCATCTGCCAGTGGGCGTTCACTCAGGTTCAAGTGGAAGCTGGATACCAGCCAATTTGCGAATCGACAGAGTAATGCGCAGCAGCCAGCTTCATGTTTGCAGAGAAGGCGACGCAAAACCAAAAATAACCACGCTCAGACCCTTGAAACCCCTGCTGGGCAAAGAATTCTGTTGAAAGAATTCCGAACTGCCGCGGCAAGCTGGGACCTGCCGCAGGCCTGGCCGCGATCCATCGGAAGACCGGAGGCAGCTCCCAAGCCTCCGCCTTGAGTCAAGGACCCCGAAAAAGGAAGGGTAAAACGAAACTGACCGAAGCAACGGGTTCAAAGGTGAGGGTCAACCCGCTTGAATGATTACGAAAACACATCCATATTTCGCAGAGTTTGGCGCAAGACAGCGTGGGTTCTCAGAAAGGAGGTGCGAGTAGAGATGTTAAATAGAGGCAGCCGTCCGTGCACCCGTTCGGAACAGAATGCCACTCATGCGTTCATTTCTCATATGCCCGTCTGCAAGAACAACAGTGAAGGCCTCTCTTGTGGGTTTGTGATGAGCCTCGCGAAAGACAGTTTAATGCTGGCGAAAGTTGTGTGAACGTGACTCTCACACGGGAAGCTGAGAAGCATGACAGTCGTAAGTTGCAGAAGTGTCATGCCGTCAAATGCCTCCTACGTGACTATTTGCCATAGCTTGGCTTTCATGGAGCTCAAGTCTAAGAGAGAAGCTACCGATCTCCAACCTCATCATGTTGACTCGTTGTTGGCAGTTTCCTTGCCGCCAGCTGACAAGTCAGCAGCATTCGTCCAGACCTTCAAACATATCCAACATCTCCAAACCCCTTGAAGATTCTAAACATTTCTAAAACTGCAGTCTGCTTGCCGCGCCTTGAGCTGCGCTTTCAGCGTCTTGGGCAACACCCGGGGGATGCTGCGGGACAGGCCGCCCCGCGTTACTGGCGCTGCGCCCTTCAGCAGGCCCGCCCTTGACAAGGCCTGGAACAATGAAGCAAGTCCGGGCTGCCAACACCCATGCCCCATACCAAGCATAATCAACAATGGCGATCATGTCTGACTACATAGATGAGATATCCACACATATATATATATATATATACATGTATGTACATGCGTACATGTGCATATGTAGATGTACTGTCTTTCTGTAACCATGGGCTGGAAGTGCACTCAGCTCTTGCCGCTTTGTCGCCTGCGACTCGTTACCGACGCGGATTGCAAGGTAGGTCGGCGATAAGAGCAGGAAAGATAATGAATCCGCATGCGCGAAAAATGAGTGGACGTGATGCGCGGGACTGCAAAATTGCGAAACAGAGCAACCCTCTGCGGGTTTTGGCTTCTCCGGCTGACTGAAAGCTACCCATCGCGGCGCCTCTCGAAATGGTCTCGGAACGGGTGTGGAATGGTCTCGGCCCCGGGCCCAGTAGCGCGGACGAGCGAGCCTTTCGCGCCATGGCAGGCGCGGCCTTTTGTTGGATTGGTGCGGCAAAGTTTGGCAATGCTGCAAGTGTTCGTAGCACTTTCGCGCCCTCAGCACTTTCGCAGGGTCAGGCGCAGAGAGAAAGGTAAAGAGAAAGAGAGAAAGAACGAAAGAAAGAACTGAAGAAAAAAGAACGAAAAAATAAATAAAGAAAGCGAGAGAGAGAGAGAGAGAGAGAGAGAGAGAGCGAGAGAGAGAAGGGGCAAAGAAGCGTGCTCCAAACTATAGTTCGATTTGTTGGAAACTTCACTTCCACCAACCAGTTACTGGTAAGCTACATGAGGCAAACTCGCATGACTACTTTCTGCAAAAGATATCTCTCCCGCCAGCCAATGATCGACGCTGACACTGGCTGACACGTCTTGCGACACAAAGACACTCACTTAAGAAACAAGTGCGAACTAACCAATACTGGGCCTTGCTGGGCTTGCTTGGCTTGCAAGTGCTGAGCTTGTCTAGGAGTCTGTCACACTGGGCAAACCTACAGGGATTTTGATAGATGCTTGGCGTGTTACATAGGACCACGCAATCCCTTTCATCGCTCAAGCTCCAACACGCTTAACGGCGCCATCCTCTTACAGCTCCGGCAACATGGTCAGCACATCGGAAATTGCGAGTTGATGTTCCTCTTTGAGCACAGCGCCAACCGAATACAAGTACGCTTCCTTGCTGGGACACCAGCTAAATCCTCGCCTGAAAACAAGCGGACCCTGGCTTCTGTTGAAACCAAAGGTGGCAGCAGCCTGGCTTGACGCCTCCAAGCCACGCACTCGTTGCTCAGATGCTTCTCGACACACATGAACTGGCATAGCCTTTCTTTGGTGAAAAGTGGGGAAACAGCAACACGTCCTGGTCATTGTTAGTGATGGGTTCACACGCTCGCCTGCAGGGGCTGTACATAGATGCGGGTGGGCGCCAGAAGCACCTCCCCGAAGGAGCGGGTGGGGTCGAAGGGAGCGGCTGCCTGACAAGGCGGCAAGAGGCAGGTCACGCGAAGTAGGGCCACTTAAGGCGTACGCAAATCATTCGGCTTTCCTCTGTCCAATGGACATGGAATGTCTTTCTTGTTTGCTTTTGTGCTCAATTGGATACACCGAATCAGTGGCCTAGGCTGGTGGATTGCAGACCCTCCTTCAATGATGTCAAACAACTTACAGGGCTGCCCTGGGAACAGCCCGAGCTGGGCAATGCAGGGCTGCCCAAGCTGCTCCAGGAAACATTGGCAAGTGCCCAACCCGTAGCAAACAACCCACAAATATTGAAAAATGGCCAAGGGGACCTGATGCTATCTTTACAACTCCTCAATCCCAACCAGGAAGGCAACACAACCCTCTACCAAAGCCACCTTTGTTTTCGACCAGGAGCAAGCCTTCTTTTCCAACATGACCCCATTTTGGGTTGTGATGGCGTGAAAGAGAGGCAAGCAGCGTCCACCCAAAAACAAACGCGCAACCTAAAAGGGCCCCATTCGATGAAAAACATGGCCCCTCCCAGCAAAGTCACCAGTCCTGGTAGCGAATGCCGGCCGCTTGCACCACGGACCGCAGCAGGCTGAAGCCGTTGCTGTGGAGACCCGAGGAGTGAAGGCCGATGAGCAAATCCCCCGCCTCCATTGCCTCCCTGGTCGCGCCGAAAATCGGAGGTCACTCGCTGGAAATCTTCCGGACCTTTCGGCACTTTAGGAACACTCTGGGCCAGCCTGCTTCCCAGAACCAGAGTCAAACAATGACTTCCCACATCTTAAGAGCAAGTTCTGCAAACAACCTAAGCATCAACAGCAGAAGGAAAGGACATGCTTTTAAGCTTGGCGCCACTTGCAGGTATGACGCCACAAATCTAGCTCAGCAATAACCCCTTGCAACCAATAGAACCCCCTCCCAATTCAGCATCAAACTTCCAAGGAATTTGCCGGGGTCTTCACACAGCTCACATGCCAATACTGCTTAAGTACAAGCCAACCATTTTACATTTAGACCCTTCACTAAACCCAGGGGATCCTCTATGTGGCCCCTACCATTTCCAAACAAATACACCTTGGCTTGGTCCGCGAAAAACAAAAATGTTCGAACCGTCCAAAATACAACCTGCACGTTTTGGTCTAACAGTCTGAGAGTCCAAAGGCTGGGGAATTGCGCAAATAGGGGTTCTGGCTTGTATTTAAGACATGTGCTTGAGAATAAGGGTTGCTAAGGCATGTGATTTGACAATCCGGATGCCAAATGGCCCCTGCGCTTTTTTGGGCTGATCGGAAAATGCGAGCTCCAACAATCACGAAAAAACAGCGTCGGCAAGTATTGAAGCTATGCTGCAATACTCCGGCAACTCTCTCGCCAGCTGTGTCGTGCACATCGCAAACCACATTGTTTGTGTAATGCAAACGGAAAACGACAACGTTGCTCTCAGCCCCCCCAAAAGCAAGTCATCTATGCACATGCAGTATGTGGAAACCCTACGTGTGTCCTACCCCGAGGAATGGGCGATGAATGGCAAACATGGTCGAAGGGTTGGCATCGAGCGTCCTTCAAGTAGGCACTCAACGATAGAAACAATGTTCTGTGTGTAGCTTGGCCTCACGTAACCTGTGATTTGGATTGGTTGGGATTGGACCTCACTGGTGGGCACACATGTCTTAAGATGGACCCCGCTTGATGAAGCCGTGAGGAACCAAGGAGAAATCGCGAGGGTGGCAAACTGAGGACACACACACAAGCGTCCATGTGCTAATTACACGACAAGGGGCACACAGAGAAACACAAAGCACAAACCAAAAGGAGAGAAGAAGAGAAATCACGAAGGCGGCAAACGGAGAACGCAGACACAAACGTCCATATACTCCACGACACGACAAGGGGCATGCAGATGAGGGAAGGGAAAACGCAAAGCACAAACCAAAAGGAGAGGAGGGGAGAAATCACGAAGGTGGCAAACGGAGAACACACACAAACGTCCATATACTTTACGAGAAGGGGCATACAGAGAGGGAAGGGAAAACGCAAAGCACAAACCAAAAGGAGAGGAGGGGAAAACTCACGAAGGTGGCAAACGGAGGACACACGCAAACGTCTATATACTTCAAACTTCAAACCAAGAGAAGAGGAGTGGAGAAACAAGTGCTTTTCATGTTGACAAATTCGCAGTCCGCCCAGCTGTTTACAAAAAACAGTGTATACGGCCGGCGCCCCCCCATGACAAGAACAAATCCTTAATGACACGCAAAAAATCCTTAGTTACAAGCAGGTGCTTGTAAGTAAGGATTCCTTAATGACAAGCAAAAATCCTTAGTTACAAGCGGGTGCTTGTAATTAAGGATTGTTTGTTGACCAGCAAAAGTCCTGAATGAGCACGTGAAAATCCTTGATTGAAATTAAGGATTCTTGACAAGCACAAATGCTTAATGACACAAGAATCCTTAATTACAAGCAGGTGCTTGTAATTAAGGATGTTTGACCAAAAAACAACCTTAATGACAAGCAAAAATCCTTAATGACAAGCAACAACCCTCAATTACAAGCAGGTGCTTGAAATTAAGGATGTTTGACAAGCAAAAATCTGTACTGACAAGCAACAAACCCTTAATTACAGGCAGGTGCTTGTAATTGAGGATTTTGACCAGCAAGAATCCTTAATGGCAAGCAACAAACCCTTAATTACAAGCAGGTGCTTGTAATTAAGGATTGTTGACCACCAAAAATCCTTAATGACAAGCAACAATCCTTAATTACAAGCAGGTGCTTGTAATTAAGGATTTTTGACCAGCAACAATCCTTAATGACAAGCAACAAATCCTTGATTACAAGCACCCGCTTGTGATTAAAGATTTTTGACCAGCAAAAATCCTTAATGACACGCACAAATCCTTAATTACAAGCAGGTGCTTGTAATTAAGGATTGTTGACCACCAAAAATCCTTAATGACAAGCAAACATCCTTAATTGCAAGCAGGTGCTTGTAATTAAGGATTTTTGACCAGCACACATCCTTAATGACAAGCAAAAAATACAAGGGTTTTTGGCCTTTGCGCCCCCCACTTCTCAAGGTGCGTCCGCAAATACTTCCTTAGTGTCAGCCAGCCGAACCAATTTCAATCTCTAGGCCATGGACGCTAGCCCTGCGCACTGGTAAAGCAGTTTGCGCGAGGAAAACACGAATCCGATAGGCAAGAAACCGTAGTTACAGGAAGAATCCAGATTTTCGAAGAAAAATCCTGATTTGCAAGCAAAAATCTTTATTCGGAAGCAAAACTCCTTTTTCGCAGAAAAACCTTTAATAACAAGCACAATTCCTTAATGACAAGCAACAATCCTTAATTACAAGCAAAAATCCTTAATTACAAGCAGGTGCTTGTAATTAAGTTTTTTTGCTTTTGTGTCCCCCACCTTTCAGACAAAAAAACATGAAAATCCTGGTTTTGGACCGAAAACTGGGGGACAGAATTAAGGTTTTTTGCTTGTCATTAAGGATTTTTGCTGGTCAAAAATCCTTGATTACAAGCACCTGCTTGTAATTAAGGATGTTTGCTTGTCATGAAGGATTTTTGATGGTCAAAAATCCTTAATTACAAGCACCTGCTTGTAATTAAGGATGTTTGCTTGCCATTAAGGATTTTTGCTGGTCAACAATCCTTAATTACAAGCACCTGCTTGTATTTAAGGATTTGTTGCTTGTCGTCAAGGATTGTTGCTGGTCAAAAATACTTAATTACAAGCACCTGCGTGTAATTAAGGGTTTTTGCTTGTCATTAGAGTTTTTGCTGGTCAAAAATCCTTAAATACAAGCACCTGCTTGTAATTAAGGATTTGTTGCTTGTCATTAAGGAGTTTTGGTGGTCAAGAATCCTTAATTACAAGCACCTGCTTGTAATTAAGGATATTTCCGTGTCAGTGAGGAATTTTGCTGGTCAAAAATGCTTCATTACAAGCACCTGCTTGTAATTAAGTTGCTTGTCATTCAGGATTTTGCTGGTCAACAATCCTTAATTACAAGCACCCGCTTGTAATTAAGGATTTTTGCTTGTCATTAAGGACTGTTGCTTGTCATTAAGGATTTTTGCTGGTCAACAATCCTTAATTACACGCACCTGCATGTAATTAAGGGTTTTTGCTTGTCATTAAGGGTTTTTGCTGGTTAAAAATTCTTAATTACAAGCACCTGCTGGAGATTAAGGATTTGTTGCTTGTCATTAAGGATTTTGCTTGTCAAAAGTCCGGATTTTTGCTTGTCATTAAGGATCTGTTTCTTTTCCAAAATCCTTATCTACAAGCACCTGCTTGTAATTAAGGATGTGTGCTTGTCATTAAGGATTTTTGCTGGTCAATAATTAAAGGACCGGATAACCCCACATGCTATGTTTTTCCCAAGGATGTGAGTTCAAATGTCCACACACATGTACCGTGCGCAAGTGGTTGTGCTGCAAGCTTGTGGCAGGGCTCATGAACATCGCGGAGACAACTAGCATGCGTTCTGTCACCTCATCCCGCAAACAACTGCGCGAACCTTTTTTTGCCTTTCTTGCTGCGCTGACCTTGGCTCGGGCGCAGCTCATGCCACACTGACTGTCAGTCCCGGCAGCAATGCTTCGTGCGGACGCGTCGCGTCTGTTTTTCGCCAGCTGCGTAATGACGACACTGAACAAGCTCGGTAAACTTCTCAATCCGAGTTGCGTGGCTCAAACTGAAGAATCTCGATGCGTGGCTCGACATGCTATTTGCAGCAGCTAACGGCCAACATATTGCTTCAAGGTTAGCTACTGGTTTTGCCAAGCAGAGCCACGCTTCAAAGGATTCGGACAACATTTCGCTGTGATAGCTGCGTCATGCTTCTCATTCCGAGTCGCGCGGCGCCCAAAAATGCAATCACAGCAGCTAGTGTCGAACATTGTTTCATGCCTGCTCTAGCACTGGTCTTGCCAAGCAGAGCTCGTCTTAAAAGGGGTTGGCATGCTGTCTCGCAGCGTGCGCACTCGCTTACCGGGAGTCCACTCACTGGCATAGCTCAGAGCAGCAGCCGCCGTCTGCTTGGAGATGATGTGAGAGTAGTACGCGTTGACAGCCAGCACTACGCTGTAGCGAGTTACCGAAAGCTGCTGCCAAACCACCGCTGGCGCTGCCATGAAACACTTCGGCCCGCTCAAATATACAAGCTGCATGCTCTCACGCCAAAAGCACCGAGCACAAAACGCACAGCCGACACGCCCCCGTGGGCAGGACTGCGCGGACGCTTCCCCGTCAAGAGCAGACCGCCGCAGAAACTCGGCGTAGTTGCTAACATAGTGTCGCACCTGAGTGGGTCCAAGTATAACAAGACGCAAAGGCAAAGGCGAGAAACCCCATCTATCAACAAAACTGTGAAAAAACAAACGTCCAACGGCAACGCTCTCAAGAAAGAACATATCGCAGCCCAAATGCCTCCGAGCCCGCAACGACATGCGGACACAAAGACTCCATGCGCAGAAACGCATTCCGATAGCTCTGCAGCCCTCCGTGCATTTCGTCGATGTGGGCCATGAGCTCTTCGCGCACTCGAAATGCCACACCATCACAGAGAAGACAGGGCTGCTCGGCAATTTGAACCGGACGTTGGGGCCACACCCTCAGCGTCTCCTTCTCCTGGCGTGGACGAAG